AGGGAAGGAAAGCCGGGCAAGTCAACATCACTTTTCTTCTTACCCTAAAAAATGCATGGAACATTAGATACACATGCAAACAATCATACTTACAGGAACTTACCATAGTTTTCAGTATTATGCGAATAAAATAACGATTTTATCTGATTTATTTGCTGCACAGAAAACGTAAAACACGTGTAAACCGATTTGTTTTGCAAAAGAAAAATAAAACAAAGAAATGTCAGAAAGCAGTTTTAACAAGCAGCTGATTGCTTAAGTCGGTAAGGCAGTTTACTTTAACCCTTTCCGTGAACTGCAGATGGTATTTTCTCAGCTCATCTTCAAAAGGGACTTCCCCGCTTCCTAACCTTCCTGATACCACATTTCAGAGCATGTTTCGCGTGGGGGTCCCTTCCACTACAATGGCGGAATATGACTGTCCGCTACATCCCAAAGGAGGGGGGGAAACCAGCAGACCAATCAAAGTCATGCCGACCCATTAGTCTTACGTCCTTTCTACTAAAAACAACGGAAAGAATCGTAGACAGGCATATCATGGATAGTTTCCTTACGAGGAACCCTTTGCACAGACACCAATATGCCTATCTTTCAGGAAGATATACTATCCACGCTCTTCAGAATCTAACAAGGAAAATTGAAAAGTCCCTGGAGGACAAAGACGTAGTGGTGGGTTGTTTCTAGACAATTGCGTCCGGCGAAGAGAGGTTGATCAAATCATATATCGCTGGACAGCAAACGTCCTTAAATTCAGAACTGGGAATGGTCAGATTCTTAGCTACGAAAGGTTGCCCGCAGGGGTCAGTGCTCTCCCCTCTGCTATGGTCCATCGTAGTAGATGAACTACTCTGCCTTCTTAGCGAAAACGGCTTCGACGTTCAGGGCTATGCGGATGACATTGTCATTCTCATCAGAGGAAGATTCGAAGCTACCATCTCCAACCTCCTACAGAATGCTCTGAACATAGTCGCCAATTGGTGTAGTAAAAATGGGTTAAACATAAAAGGGACACATCAGTAGAAACATTCCTTCAAGGTGAAAAGATACACTTCTCCAAAGAGGCCAAATATTTAGGAGTTATCCTTGATGACAAGTTCTCATGGAATCCACATCTGGATAAAACTATTCAAAAGGCCAGGGCTTCTATCTTGACCTGCTGGAAACTTTGGGACGGAACTGGGGCATCAGACCTAAACTGTCGAGGTGGATGTATGATGCGACCTCACCTATGCTGCACCCATGTGGTGGAAGAAGGCGGAAGTGAAGTCAACACAGGCCAAGCTCAGTAAATTACGGAGACTGGACTGCGTGGGTAGCATTGGCGCGATGAGAACAACACCAAAGGCGGCTATCGAAGTGCTTCTTGACCTGCCTCCCCTACACATTGTAATCAAGAAGGAGGCTCTACTGTTTACAGCAGGGCTCATCTCAGGGGACAGTGTAGAGGACAAGAAGTATGTACAGCCTTCCACCCTCAGGGTTATAGAACAAGAAGATGGGTTACGCATAAGCTTTGTGGACATGTGCCTTCCGAGGTTTAACTTCTCACAAAACTTCAAGGTCTTTTTCCCTGACAGGAATAACTGGGACAACGAACGACCTAAACCCCGGAAGGGCAGCCGCATCTGGTATACTGACGGCTTAGAAACAGACCACGGCGCCCGAGCAGGAGTCTACGGCATACAACCAAGACTGCTCCTTTTCATTAACATGGGGCAAGGTAACTCTGTATGTGGAAGTGGGACAACCAAAAAACACATCTACATATACTCGAACAGCAGAGCGGCGCTCCTCGGTCTCAAAGCGCACGAGGTCAACTCAAAGTTGGTGTGGGACTGTCTTCAACTTATAATACTGATCGGCTCCAGGAACCGGGTATACGTCATATGGGTACCGGGACACAGTGGAGTCATGGGTAATGAAGTGGCAGATATTCTCGCCAGAAAAGGAGCTGCACAGGGTTTCATAGGCCCAGGACCCTTTACCTACTATTCCTGGATGAAGAACGAAGCACAACATTACTGGACAAATACGGAAGGTAACAGACAGGCCAAGTCCTTCATTCCGGATACTGTAGGGTAATGACACACTTGTCAAACATAGGAGTTGTCAACTCTGACCAGTGGAGGTTGTGTAACGAAGAAAAGGAAAGAGCAGAGCACATTATGTGCCACTGTGAAGCCCTTACCAGGACCAGACTTCGCTTCCTAGGCACATGCCCTAAATGGCATTCAGCCAAAGGACCTCGCGAGGTTTCATAACAGGCATCGACCGCAGGGATACGATCGTAGAGGGTCAGGAGATTGCTGATTGATTGTTGAGCTCAAACTTTTTAGCGTTTATATACCCCCTGTCACCTTCTGGTGGGCAGGATAGCACCCTCAGTTAGGTGCGCTTCTCAGAGGTGAAAACCGCATCGTAGTAGGTGACTTCAATGCGCATCACTTTCCTTGCCATTAAATCCTGTCAAACGATCGTAGGGTAACACGCTTGGCTGACTAGCTAGACGATTCGCCATTCTGCACATTTAACGACGACACTCCCACCAGGAGTGTGTGCAGTGTGTGGAAACCGAGTGGCCCCACTGTTTAAACCGGGAAAGCATGCCAACAGAGGGTAGTATTAATTGCCGATAACACTCCCCTGCGCTGTAGCGGAGGCACTAGAGGCCTTCTTACTCCCGCACTTCATGAACCTCCCGACCCCAGCAAATTATAAGTATGACGTCCGTAGATTGCACAATTGCACCACCGCACTTAATGCCATAAATATTCAGATAGCTCGCAACCGCTCCTGTGAGAGGACGGTCCTAGTAGCCTAACCATCTCCCCTACGAAGTCCTCTGAAACCATTTTCAACACCTGGACGAAAGAGGTCAAGCTACTGCTGGATATTTATTCCGACGGGCACCAATTCCAACAGTGAACAACCCGAAAATCCTTGGGACTACCTTCGCCAATCTGGGCAGTATTACGGAGTGGTAGTTCGCACCTCTTGCCTCTGAGCCACAGCGGCTGCGACAGTGCAGAGGTAATATAAGAGAAAAATCGTGTACGTCAAAATTAAGCTGTTATAAAGACATATAGCAGGATGTGTGTGATGACTTGGGAATCGGTGAGGTTTTCTCTAACCTCTTTTAATGGCTTTAAAATTGAAAGTTTAAATCAATTGGCCAGGATGGTATGTATCAGAAGATGCTGAAGTGTTAAAGAGGTCAGGTTATAAAGGCCCCAGTAATAATATTAGGGTATTTTGGTAATATTTTCACTCTTTGGAGAAAGTTTAGGGTTGTCATTTTTCCTAAATTCGGAAACGCTTGCTAAAAACTTCAAACCCATCAGTGTGACATCTTTCATGCTTAAGAACTTGTTGCGTTTTGTCAAAGAGTCGCCTTTGTTTTCAAACAACGTGCATACTAGGGTGGAAAATTCTGCGAATCAGCCTTACGCGACCTTGTATCAAATATGGACGTGGTGCTGGAAGCATGGAAGAACTCAATTAAGGTCTTTTCTGATATTGAAGGGGCCCTAAGCAATGTTACTTTTGATTCGTATTCCCTCTGTGGCTAGATGGCATGGAGTGGATGTAACAAAAATAAGATGGATCCATTCCATGTTTTCTAGAAGATTGTATCATACCGCAGGGGGGTGCACTCTAGCCTCTCTGGTGGTGGACTACCTACTAACAGAAATGCAAGTTTACGCGAATTATATTTGAGCACTAATGTCAGGAGGTCTCAACCTAGTGTGAAAGCGTATCTCTTTGTTTTTTGAGCACCAAAATCTTTTGGAAAAAGTACTTCGTTAGCTTTCCCCCAAGGGAGCAATGGAGAGGTCCAGACACTCTCCTGCGGAACTCGTTAATATTTTCTATACAGAAGGCTCAAAGACTGAAAATGGATGACATCTGGAGACTAACTTCGGGTAACTTCAGATGTTTTTGAGCTTTAGGTGTAATGTCAATGGTTGTTTGGTTGGATATCTTTGCAAGAAAGAAATAAGCAAATAGGATAGTTGGCGGAAAGTGGCAGGGACACCAAATCAGGGTATGCAGTGATAGCCAAGCTGCTTGGACGTCTTCAAGTATTGTCCAGCAATGTAAATTGAGGCTGAACTCCATTGTAAAATGGAGCAAGATTCCACTCATGTAAATACCAGGAGACTGTGGCGAACTGAAGTTCTTTGGAGCGCCCATTTGGGTGGAAACCATAGCGGGAACTGTCAGGTATGTCAGTAATCTTATGAATAAACTGTACCGTTGGTGCAAAAAACAAATATTTCCTGAAAAAGCCATTCAGGGTGGTATCGAAATTCCTTCACAGGCAAAGAAGCAGTGAGCTATGAGCCTTGATAATGGTACACAAAGCATGGAAACGACATATTGCCATTATAACTATCATCGAATACCCACTTTGTACATCTGCTTGGAGGTTAAGGAAAGTACAGAAGATTTCCTTGGCAACCATTCAGCGTTCGCGAGATGTATTGAGAATGAATCAGCTTAACTCTCGTTCCCTCGTCAGACTACTGAGATTCGTTAAAGAGTTTGTTAAGTTTGCAGAGGAGAAATGACGTACTGGTCATACCTGTCTTTCTTATACTTTTGTTACCTTCTCTAGGACTTAGATACTATAGGGAACTATGCCACCTCGTCCTCCCCTTAGCCGCATTCCTCATTGGTGGAATAAAGAGCTGCAGAAGTTGAGGAATGATGGGAGAAAACTTTTAAACCGGGCCCCAAGAACAAATGCTGAGATGAATTGGAAATGCTAGATACCTCTGTACAAATAACTGATTCGATCTTTGAAAAGGGTTTCGTTCATTTCGGGTCAGTTGTTTGCAGGATAAGACTGTATGTGTGGTGTAGAGATAAGACGCAGGTTTTGGGGAATCGCGATTGAAGTTTGGAATGCAATTTCTAAAAACCGCGACGATAGATTTCTCCAAAGCTTCGGAAAATGTTACTAGTTCACGAAATTCTTAAATTATTTTACTATTTATTTTTAGCAAAATTTGGTCGTCTGCGACATCTGTCAACAATTTAGCAGCCACTTTGTATGACATACGACTGAATGTGATAAACATTTGTACTAAATTAACGATACTTTTTACTCAATATCTCGTAAACTAATGGAGGTATACAAAAATGAATTACGACATTTGAAAAATCTTGATTAGTTTAATACGTCAATTCCAAAAACTGATAACACCAATCGAAAGATATTGTTTAAAATATATGACTGCATCTATAAACATACATACATATAACTAAATATGGTCAAAATGGCGCTTACGACAATCTTTTACCCAGGCAATGATATGCATCTGTGGTGAAGTGGAGCATATGTAATAGTACTGGGAGTTCTATCCAGATTTTTTAAACGACCGGATAATCGGGATATTCGAACAACAAAAAGAACGGATATAAACCGGACATCCGGATAACAAATGAGAAACGAATATTCGGATTTTATCCGTGTACACGAATATCCGGATAAACGGATAGTCCTCGACCTAAAGAAACCGCGAAGAGATATTTGTCATCTAACGTAGTCAAATTGTTCGCGAAATCTACAAAAATACTATCACTGAACTCGAATAGCTACGAACGTAGCATATGCTTAGGGTGTTCCAAAAATGCATGTGAAAAAGTGAAGTCGAAATGTTTATGCTATCCCCTACCGGGATATTTATGCTATGGCAACCGTGTGCACATTATTGTTGTGAATTTACGAATACAACGGATATGTAAATGCAATAGCATATGCACAAGGTCCTGAACAGCCCTAATATTTTTCGATCGGAAAACTCTGTTTCTCTTCAGTAGACTTCTAATAATATTCCCCAATGGTTTATTTAACAATTTTTCCAGATTAACTATATTTTATAGGTCCGCCAAAAGCTCAGAAAATGCAATGGGGGACCAATAAAAAGTCTTTAGTAATAAAAAATGGTTAAATAAACAATTGGGTATTATTATTGGAAGTCTACTGAAGAGAACAAGAGTTTTCCGATCAAAAATATTGATTCTATAGAATACTTTGAGCGCTTTGAGCGACCTCTAAATTTATTTATTTTTTTGATTTCAAAATAAAAAAAATTATAATATACCATGCTTTTATAAATGGACTAAAAATTAAAAAATAATATTTCTCAGTCCCATTGAATTTGTTTTGATAACTTTTAATTTTGATTTCATAAACGTTCTCTGCTTATAGCCAGCAATTAGTCATTTAAAGAAATGGCGTGTCGTCCATTTCCGCTGCAGCATTAGTAGTGCATATTTTTAGGCGCAACATTTAACTTCTTCTGGCGGGGCGACATCTAGTTTTCTAATTGTAATGTTTTTTATACAATAGAACAATCATAGGGAGTGAGAGCATTAAAATTCCGGCTTCACTTTTTTTTTGACCACCCTAATATACAATACATATGAACTTTGAATGCATGCGTTCGAAGCAATTCGGATTCACTGATGCGTAGATTTCACAAAAGTCGGACTACGATGGATTCAGTGATAGCAACGAATAAGTCTGAATTTTTAATTTTCTTACATGCGATCGCGTCCGGATCGTTTTTTATGTGCTTGGATCTTTGTACTTAACGGTATCTTCCAAAAAAATTTTATTGCAGTGCGTGGCAATAATTAGAACACGAATATCACGGCCGTTACCTAGAATTTACCTATATGCAAAGGAATGGAAATTGTGTGCCCAAAATTATCGTAAAAGTGTTATTTTTAATTGTAGAAATGTTTAGCCCTATAGCCGATTCAATGGGAAAGAATTTTTCCCATAAATTTACAAGTATAACCAAATCAAATTGGAGAATATTACTTTGGTTTTGATCTATCATTTTTGGAAATGTTTGTTCTCACGATAAGACTGATTATTATACAATAACCTCAAATAATAGTAAAAGCAATAAGTTAGTTCACTATTTTAAAAGTTCTTTTATTCAATGAACCGTAGGATATAACATCAACTGACTTATAATTTAAAAAAAGAGCTTCTTTATTTTTGTTCTAATTTTAACTGCTCATTTTCCGTATGATACTTATGTATTTAAATAATATATGTAGAAACAAAAATCAGTTTTTAACTTTCGGACTTCAAATAATGCTTACTTAGTCTATACAATCTTTCTGCAGTGGTTATATAATTTTTTATGTACACCTTCTTGTGGTATATTTCTTAAAGTGGTACCTTTGTGTCTATTCAAATAAATTCAATTTTGTTTCACTTTGTCATTAGAAAAATACAAAAATTCAATTAGATTAAACTGTTCTTTGTGAAATAATAAATACATTCTCTTTTGCTTTATTTTGGACAATAAAAAAGGTAATTGTATACGCTAATTTCATCGCCAAAACATTTAAGTGTTAAAAAACTGAATAGTACTAGCATAAAAATTATTAAACCTGATTATTTCAGCAATGAGGGACAATGAAATGATTTGTTTAGCAATAAAATGTTTATAAATAACATATTTACAGTAAAAAGCTAAAGTAATTTATATTTCAACTTATTATGTAACGATCGCAATGCATGTTTCCTCAACGTTACATACTATAACTTACTCTTTAACTAAATACAAACATATGTATGTTAGATACCGGCTTCTCATTTCACTTGTAATTATGTTATATATTGCAAGAAATTAAAATAACACGCATAATTTGCAACAAAATAAAAAGCAAGGTGTTTTACACTGTATGCTCAACGGTTGCAACTAAGTATCTATGGTATAACCCTCATCCATCTTCTCTACCAGCAATAGCTCTTCCAATCTATCCAATCGTTGACGCAGCTCGTCCTTCTCCTTTTGTGCTGTGTCGAATTTGCGCTTTAATTCATCATTTTGACGGCGTAGCTCATATAGTTGACGGCAAATTTCGGGCACTGACAATAAAGAAATAACTGTCGCACCCGGTTGCTTGCCATCACTTCCTGGCGCGTTGGTTCTACTGTTAGCGATGATGCTCTGTTTGGCTGTGTTAGAGGAAATTTGACGCACCAGCGGGGGTGCAGATATGTTGAGTAATTGTTTCGCCCCATGAGCGGTACTGGTGACGCTCATTTTCTGCTGTTGGTGATTTTGCTTTTGCACTTGTTGTTGATTATGGTGCTGCTGCGAAAGGTCAGTTTCTGACATCTCCGTGTCACTATCTGTTGGTACCAATTGTATAATTGAATCAATGTCATCTTCCTCCGCGGTGCCAGTGTCTGTTTGATCAGATTTTATAACTGTTTGGCCAGATTTTAACTGCAAAATAGAAATAAAACTTGTGTTAACAAAAAAGGCATATGTTTATGTTTTTATTATAAACTTAAAGATAAGCCCCAGCTCGCATTTATAAAAAAAAAAAACATAAAACAAGATTCACGCAAAAATTAGGTATTTATTTGAGAATTTGTTTAACAATTATAACACTCAATATAAAAATACCTGTCGTTGGGCTAGAAGTCGTGGAGCTGTGTATATTTGTCTGCTACCAGTATTAAGTATTCGTTGTTCGTCCGTTAGTGGCCTTATACACGACAATCGATCGCTAAAATAATAAGAAAAATTAAAGCATTGCATTGATTACAGTTTTTGATTCCATTTACATACCTTGCCATGGATGCCGGAATTTTTTGTACACCTTTTATATTTGTATTCCCATAGAATTTTTTGAAGTCATTCAGCGAAATAATGCGTACGTTCTAAAAGAAATAAGAATGTATGCTTAAAATATGAATCTGTCTTAAATGAGTCTTTCCTGGTTTAACACATATATATGTACATATAAATGTATATATGTATACATTTTTAACCTAACGAACCTTGTACATATTGAGATTATCCTTTGCCTTAGAAATGATACTAGCCCGCGCTTTATAATTCTGCGTGCGTGATGCCAATGTTCCACGAACGGGAACCACTGTGTAGTTGGTATTTAAATTCGATTTTCCGCTGCTGCTGGCATTATTATTTTTATGTATTTTCTTTGTCTCGTTAAGCAATAATTTTCCACCTTCCGACAAAACTAGTTGACGTCCGTTTTGCAAGGCAGTGGTGAGCAGCTCTTTAGATGTGTCTTCATCTTCTGGTATCATAGATATTCCATGATCTTTGAGCATATTTATTGTGGTTTTGTCTAACACGCCCGTTTCTTTATAGAAGAGAAACGACAAAATAAATATGGTAGAAGTATGCATTTAAATTCTCAATGAATGATAACTACCCTTGATATTTGCCAAATCAGATATTTTGGCTTCTGCGTAATCGCTATTATTTGTCAAATCGTCATCTACCTCCAAAACAATTTTTGTTGAATTTCCTGCATCTTCGGACACAAAATTCGATATGCCCATTATGGAGTTCACGGCTTCAGACGTTTCCTTCTGAAACATTAAAATAACATTACAATACATATTATTTTAATTTCCTGATTTGCATAAAGAACAATGCAATTTAGAAAAGCAAGCTACTGGAATACATACAAATGCATATTAGGATAGATGTTATTATTTTGGAATAATCGTTTTGCCAAATTGTTAATAATACACACAAAAACTAATCAAGCTAACTTGGGTACCTACTCTGAATCGCTTGGACCGCACCTGCGAGCATATTTATGATTTTTTTTTTAACATTAGAATGTGAATGCACGCATTTTATTTTTTTTTTTGACAGATAAGCACAAACAGAAAAGCACAAAAAAAAATTAAATTTAAAGCATGTAACTTCGTTTAACAATTCTAAATGTTGCATTACAAGTATAACTAACACTTTTTCGACATTTAAAAGCTATTTTATTCTCACCTCATGTTCTTCATTATATTTGCGGTTAATTTGCGATTGTCGCGCTAATTCCAGTTCCTCGAGTAAATCCGCTTGTTCCGTCATTACGGCAATTGCAATCGGTGTTTTGCCGAATTTTGATGTTATAGTAACATCGGCGTTGTGTTTAAGCAGAAGACGTGTTATGGATTTGTGGCCTTTTTCAACTGCCCAATGCAGTGGCGTCATTCGTAGCTACAGAATTTTTTTAAATTTAAATTAACAAGTTTTCCTATGTTAGAATTACTTATAACTTGATTTTCATATTCTACATACCATATCTCGCGGATTTACCAAACATTTCTTGGAAAGTAATAGTTCAACTATGCGTTCATTGCCATAGAAGCAAGCCATATGCAAAGGTGTGCGATCAACTTTTGTTTTAGAGTCCTTATTTATCCCGCCTTTTAGTAGAGCATCACAAACTTCATATTGGTTATTCATAGCCGCAAAGTGTAACGCTGACATACCCAACTGAAATAAACAAACATTAATAACAATACAAAGATTTCCAAAAAGTTGTGAGGAGTTCCGTGAAGTGCCACTTACCCAATCCGAGGTGAAAGGAGCACCGCGTGACAACATATTTTTCACTCCTTTCAGATCACCGTCTCGCGAGTAATGTAATAATTGTTTTCCCAGATCAACAACAGTCGTGGGAGCACTGAATGTATTGAGCGTCTTATTGCTTACGTCCACTTCAGTGCGCTGAAGTAGGCCCCGACGAATGTGAAACAAAACAAATGGAAAATCATTGAGTGCAAAATTTAACCAATTTGTAGCGCGCTAGAATACTTACAATCTTGTAGTTCATTAAATTCACTAATTGCCCAATGGAAGTTCCACTAGCAGGATAGACACTTCCATCCGCTCGCAAAGTGGCCACAACTTTATTGTCGCCACCGCCGACGCCGCCTACCATTTTCTATGCCAATTTTTTTTAGGCGGTTCGCCTTTATTGCAGTAATGCTGGGCCTACCTTGAATGCGAATACAGCTGAAGTGAAATCTGGAAAAACATTTGGAAAATGTTGAATTTCTCAAACAAAAAATTAAAATTAAAGGAAAAGGAAACAAGGCGCACGTACAAAAAGAGCAAGCTTTTTCTTTTCCGTCACTTGGTTTGCGCCGATTTCGTTTTGTGATGTTGTTTCGGATAAAACAAAAAAGGGCAATGATGATGGCAGCACGAGCAGGGTTGCATGCGACAGTGTTATCGCGCTAGTTATTCTTGCACAGGTAGGTATATGGGTAAGAATTTTGTTTGTCATGAATTACTTAATGATTATTGCATTTATTGTAGCCAGATTAATTTTTGATAATTTTTTTAAAAGCATAACATATACTTATGTACATATATTTCATATTTAAGTCAGTTTTGTGTTAACCAGCAACTTATTAGAGCCTTTGTCATATTAAGGTTATAAAAGTTATAAAGCTTTCTCTTTTTCTTTTTTTTCAATAATTTTTGTCTCAAATTAAGCAAATAACTTGGTATGGTACAAACATCTCGGTACAAAATTTAATTCAGTATCGATTTCTTAACGGAAGTGCAACTAGTGGCGTCACTTACCATCAATTACAACCCTGTATCGGGAAACGGTGAATACTCGCTTTGCAAATGTCTTCTCGTCGTAGCACGGAAATGTCGGAGAAACGTATTTTGCAAAAAACTACTTCCATGTGCCACTTTATCTACCAGCTAATTACCAAACACGATATTTTCGAAATAATCATTAACGATTTTTAGATATCCTCTAAGCAGCTTTTCGGTACAACTCAGTTATTAATTTTTTTTTTCCACTTAATTAATTAATTGTTGAAGCATAAACTCGCTTGGCCTCTTTCAATGTTTCCGTTCTTCTTTTTCCTGCCTTTTCTCCAACGTTAAACAGACTTCTTGTGGATTCGACTTTTGGTTGACGTTCGTTTGCAGATATGTATGTACGTATGTAAGTTCAAATACTAATATACATACATACATATATACAACTATGCTTAAATATTTATGTACATACATACATATATATATGCAAGCTGCTTTGTGCATTAACGCTCAACTGAGTTTATTCACATCCGTTTAGGTATGTGTATGTGGCGTAGCGAAATAGGGGAAAACGAAAAAAAACGAATCACACCGGAAGTAACTACATACCTTTGACGGAAATTTCCTAAAGTATGAACGTATGTATGTACATATGAAGCCACAAAGATTTCATTAAATAGGAAAATAAGAGAATTTATTCGCACAGTGTTCATACATACAAACAAAGCATTGGCACGGTAAGTTTTTCACAATATACATATGCAACAATTTTTATTCTACACCCCTATTCTGCAACACTTTCGTATTCGGATTTTGCTACGAATCGTAGAAATAGTATGCTGCAATCCGAATCGTATTTTCGAACTTTCGAAATGCCTAAAAACGAACGAGCAAGCTTTTTTGTGTACAAAACAATGCTGTGTCGGAGGTGAGATAAAAGATGTATATAAATCGATGTGTGTTTGCAAGAAATATTGGTGGTGTTCATTTAAACAGATAAATTTGCCTTTCGCATATACGTATATTTTTATCCAGTGCTTTATATAAACGAGCAAAAATGAATCTTTGTTACCCCTTATCGAGAAACTTGCGTCCGTTTTAGTTTATTGTACAACGATTTTTGGTTGTTGTGTCCAAACGCATAACCCGAATCTTAAAACTTTAACATACACGTGTAATCAAAGGATCAAACTTTTATTTAAATAAATTTTTCAAATTTCCGACCACTGGCTTATTAATAAATTCGGTTTGAACCATGAAATTTTTTGCAAATTTCGATTTGGGTTCTACGCAAAACTACTGTGATATGCACAAGAAATGTTGTATACCTTTGACATGCGGAAGCCCCTCTTCTCCGGCAATACAGAAAGTAGAATTCTGCTTAGTAAGGGTTACAATCCCTAAGCGCGGCCGAATGCAGAAGCAAGCGCAACAGGTGGTGGACCTAACAAAATGCATATTTTCAATGGCATGGAAGAAACTGTTATTGCATTAACTGGATTGAGAACCAGTTCTTCAGGCATAGGAGGAGTTCTGGCTTGTGGTTGAACAACTGTTATAACTGCAAATGCATCAAAATCCATAATTTTCCTCAAAATATTTAAAATCAACCAATTTTACTATAAACCATGATAAAAACATAGTAAGGTAGAACCGTTCTCTCAATTTGTCGGCCATGATTTTTTTTTGAAGTTTGCCAACATTTTAAAATCATATAAAAGGGAAAATAAAAAAATTGAAATTGTTCGAAATTGTTGTTGCTTGAGATTCAAAATGAAAATGTGTGTGTGAGTAAATTTAAAAATTAAAATGTTTGGAAATGTCAAGAATTTTAAAAGTAACTCTCAGCGGTTCTACCTGCACGTGATGAGTGTTTTTTTTTAATTCCTTTCCACTTTGTTTTCCTTCATACAGCTGACCATGATAAAAACATAATAAGGTTAAACCGTTCTCTCAATTCGTCGGCCATGTTTTTTTTTTTTAAGTTTGCCAACATTTTAAAATTATATAAAATTTAGAGTAAAAAATGAGAGGAGGGGAGCTTCAAAGTTGTTGTTTGAGATTGAAAATGAGAATTTGTGTGTGAGTTTGTGTGTAAAATTTTAAAATTAAATTGCTTGCAAAAGTCAAGAATTTGAAAAATTCCTCTCAGCGGTTCTACCTTATAATTTTTTATCATGCAGCTGACTTTGAAAAACAATTGATAGGCTGGCAATGCTGCACCTTTTTCCGCAAGAGTTGCAGCATGTCGCTACGAATTACGAATTACGAAAATTCGTGTTTTAGAATAAGGGTGCTAATATTTTTCCACTAATTTTTTATGAAAATATGGTTGATTCTACAACAAAAAACATAAAAATAGAATTCCTAACCATTGTGCTAAACTCGCGAAAATTCAGCAAATTTTCTTGCAAATTTTCAACTTTTTCATCCGATTTTCATGCAAGTTTTCATCTTTTTGAGTAAGCAGTTTTGTAGCCCAATCAATTTTATTAAAATAAAGTGCATATTTTAAGTAGATAGGAATTACCGTTGAATTTTGGCAATTTTTTTCACGGAGTCTCCTCCATAAATTTTTTTTTTTTTAAATACTTTATATGAAAATAAATGCAAAACACCTTCAACAAAAAAATTGTCAAAAATCAATGCGATTTTTGACTAACTCCGAACTCGCATTTTTTTTTAATAGAACAGAACATACTCAAAACAGAACTGCATACTCAAAAAAACTCTAGAAAATCTGATTAAAAAATCTGATTAAAATGTTGAAAATTTGCTGAACTTTCGCAAGCTTAGCACAACGTTTAGGAATTACATTTTATGTTTTTTGTTGTAAAATGAACCATATTTTTATACAAAATTGAAGGAAAAACATTAGAATAAAAATTGTTGCATATACATATTGTGAAAAATTTGCTGTCAATATTTTGTTCCGGCAGTGTATCGTCGTCTCAGAAAACGGATGTCGGATGTTACAAAACACGGTTTTGAGAAAATTGACTTTGAAGTTTAAGGTCGAATTAATCCGAAACTGTACGGTAGATTTTTGTAACTTTTGAAGGAGACGTAGTTGGTGTTATTAGTTTTGATTTCCCATATTTTTACATTTAATATCTCTTAACGTTAATGAGAAAATTTACTTTTCATTCCGTATACATTTGTCGTAAGTAGCGTTTACTCACCACTTTGTTTTGTCCACAGAACATACGACAATAGTAAAGTATCTATTTCAACGACGATGGTATAATTTGATGAAAAAAACAGACATATTTATTAAATAATGATTACTTATTAGAAAAAACATAACAAAAACATAATCATGTATTTAATAAAAAAAATCTGTACATCTCTTATGCTGTAAATATGTTACGAACATACGTTTTCTTTATATAACAACTTGTATGTGCCACATACGACAAACGTTTTATGATTAAAAAAAAGGTACGTTTGTATGGGAATTTGTCGTATGTGACGCATTTTCAGCACATACAACAAAAGGCATACCCAATCATTAATATTATGTAACATACGACAAAATGCGCACGAAATATCTCAAAAACTAATGGAGATATAAAAAAATGGATTGCAGAAATTGAAAGAGCATGTCCAACTTAGTAAATCTGCATCAAAATCCCAAAATCGTGATTTTGCACATTCGTCATCCGTTTTCTGAGGCGACGGTATGTATTTAATTATTTGTGCCACAAATGCATACACTCAAGCAAATCTGTGGACGTAGCCGTTCAATGAGCTCGCTGGCTCTGAAGGGGTGTGCTAGTGAATTCGGAGCCATGTCAGCGTTCGATTGCGGCTTATTAACATGGATTTGCGACTTCAAGAAACTCCTAGATTAGTGGGGCAAAATCGCCTTCACCACCTACCTCTTATTTTTATCACACAACCACCTGCGCCCCATCTGTTAAAACCCTACTTGCTATCACTCGTAATTTATTGTATAATTAAGTAAATGCTTGTTTTGTTTGTCTGGTCAGTTTAATTTGGTTAAAATTGCAATATTTGTAAGGTTTCTCTGATCTAACCGTTATATGTAGTTTTAAGTATTTAATAAACAACAAAGAAACCAAATTTTAAGTTCGCTGAAATTTTATATAACACACAGTAACTAAGTTTCATGGTAGATTAGAGCTGCACAAACAGCCATGTTTTTTGACATAAGCGACATTTGGGCATAAGCGACTATTGGAAAAATTAAATACAAATCCAGAAAACAATTATGTATTACATCTGATACCGCTTACCGTAGAATGAGTCAGTGCGATTCCCCAAAAATAAACACTAAAGTTTGATTAATTCAATATTTATATTGGTTTTATTGGCTTATCTTTCAATATTGATGTATGTAATAAATATGTTTTTCATACAGCAGTTATAATTACCTATGCATGTATAAGGTATACTACATACATACTTAAGTACATTCATATACATATTTTTATTTAATTACGGCTATGAGCAGCCACAATGGACTGAATGATTGATTGATGAGTGATTTTGTTCGCCTAATTATACTGATTCTTAAGAATTGCTTACAATCAGTCGGTATCTATATATATAATCTATATATATATATATATATATATATATATATATAATACGCGAAGGCATTTTTCATTCGCCCGATTTTCAAAAATGAGGTGTCAAATAAAAGCGCTTGGCCTGTAGACGCGCA